GTGACATGTTAATACATTGGAATACTCCTTGACGAAAATGAAGGAATAAAATGCTGGTATTTAGCACAACATGGATGAATCTTGAAAACATTATGGTAAGTGACAGAAGCCAGTCATAAAGTCACATGTTTTAAAATTCCATGCACATGGAATGTCCAAGATAGGCCAATGTATAGAGAAAGAGGGTAGACTGATGACTCCCTGGGCTGGGAACCATGGGGGAAAATGTGAGTGAGAGAGTGCTAATGACATAGGCTTTCTTTTTGTAATAATAAAATGTTCTAGGATTGTTGGTGGTAATGATTGCACAACTCTAAATATACTAAAACTATAGAATGGCATGTTTTCAGTGAGTTAATTTGTAGTGTGTGGATTGTATCTCAATAAACAATTGAGATAATATAAAGAGAGAGACTTATTGGTAGGGGTGAGGGTGGACAGCTCACAGTTTATTCACAATATAGAAGAACCAACAAAATTTCTGGGCAGAGTCAACTCACACGAGAGGGGAAAACAGCACAAGGAGGACATAGCAACTATAGACAGAGACACTGCAGGAAAAAAGGAAAATACCATGCATACAAGTAAAAAGTAACCCAACCTAGTTCCTCACTATTCCTTCATGTTATGAGAACTTAATGAGAATATTAACTTAAGAAAGAGGAGAAAAAAGTTCAAATTTTAAAACAAACCCAAACAAACTACACAAACTACCATAATGAGCTAGAAAGGTACATGGTTGTGTTATGGTAACAAAGTAAGCCTCAAAGCAGCATCTTTCCTGAACTAATTTAAAAATGTGTAAACAGGAAGGAACAGAGTAGACATTCCTGAGCCAATTCCAAGTCCAAATGCTTCCCTAATCTGAAATCCCCAAATCTAAGAAGCTATAAAACTGAGGTGTTTTTTTTTTTCTTTTAGTAACCCACTTGGCTGTGTAATGTGTCCTGAACAGATGTGAGGTTATTTATAATCTTTGTTTATTCAACTGAACATGAATATTCATGTTTAAAATGTTCATTGAGAAAACATCAGTGCTTTTCAAAAGAATACTGCCTAGACCGTACTGGGAGTATTTTGCACTATATGGAATAGGTATTTGTTATTTCTCTAAAGTATGACATCATTTTGAATTCCAAAATACATCTGGGTACTGGATTTCAGAAAGAGATAGTGGGCTACTAATAAACTAGAGGAATTCATAATATAAATAAAGAGACCAAGAGATTGCAGTAATTGGAAAGACTAGTGGAATGGAAAAAAGAAAAAATGATCATCCAGCATAAGAATAATTGATGCCTTTGAAGTGGGGAGACAGAGGAAATAGAAATGTATCAAAAGATCTAATGCAAGAAAAATTTCCTGAAGACAAAAATCACACTGTAATACGGGAAAAATTTATGTGATATGTTCAATATCAAAAAGTTGAAGGTAAAGGAAGAATTATTTAGTCATCCACACCAATAAAGTAATTTACTTACAAAGGGGAGAGGATGAACTTGCCCTCATATTTCACCCTAGCAGTATTCATGACAGAACATGCCAGTACTATCCACAAACTTCTGAACAGAAGAAAATCTGGCCCCCAAACCCTAAATCTCACCAAATATTAATTGAGTAAAAATGCAATGGACTGATATTTTCAAATATGAATCAAAGCAGAGAATATAACACCTGTGAGAACTTATTGAAACACTATGTGACCATTCCACAAATTAGAAGCTTAGGTTCAAGAAAAATTCAAGAATAGAGAGGTTGTGTTAAGCAGAATGGTGTGAGCAATGATCCATTCAAAGTTATCTCTTTTAACTTACTTACAGAACGTAACAAAGGCTACACTTAATAGTTCTTTCATTGTCCTGAACAATATATGGACCTCAGATGACTAGATTTCATTGTCACCCTCATCTCATCTTGCATTTTACTGTTGTCCAGTATTTTAGTTTTGCTTTCAGAAACCCATTCCTGCCAAAGCAATCTTTCATTTTCTTTATGCAGTCAATGCTTAGGGATTTTGACAAAACAGTTTTCAATTTCTTTGCTCATCACTACTCCCTGCATTCCATTGATTGAATATCCTCCTTCCTTAAGTGTGTCCTTTGGTAGTTATTTCTATGAGGGAGGTAAATTTCAGTTTTGTTCTGTTTGTAAGTCTCTGTATTTTGCCTTCACTACTGATAGCTATGCTCATTTAGCACTTTGAAGATAGTATTTCCTTATCATCCCATCCCTTGTGATGCTTTTGAGAAGGCTGTTGTTGTATTTACTGATGGCCACTTGTAGGTAATTTGGTGTTACCTCTCTGTTTTCATGTCTTCTATTTCAAGATGATTCTTCTGGACATGGAAATACTTTCCCTTTTAGTTCTTTTTTAAAATTTTTATTGTTTTATTATTCATATGTGCATACAATGCTTGGGTCATTTCTCCCCCCTGCCCCCACCTCCTCCCTTACCACCCACTCCGCCCCCTCCCTCCCTTTTAGTTCTTTTCCTTTCCCTTCCCTTCCCTTCTTCTCTTCACTCTTTTTCCTTTGCTTCCATTCCTTTCATCTCCCTATTTAAAAAAATATTTTTTTTTGCTTTTCCCTTTCTCATACATTCTCCCAGATTAACTTTAGGGTATCTACCATTTTGAAAAAAAAATTACAGCAAATTTAACATTTGATTGGATTTTCTTTAGACTTCTACCTTGCATCAAACTGATACCTTTGGTATGTTTAGTAGTCACATTAAGGAACATGTTTCTTCTGCCCCTTTGAAAATGTCCTCATATAAAGGTTTACTCATTTATCAAGATATCTTGAATAATTTTTGTTAAATGAATTTCTAGTTTTGCTATATTTTGTTTATAATTTGAATAAATGATTTCCTTTTTTAGCTATACATTTTTTATTTGGTTATTGCTACATTGAAGAAATATATTGATTTTTTTCTATCTGGCTAGGTGAGCTGTGGTGTTAAAGCTTGAACAGCAACCCCAGAGATTAAAAAAAAGGTGACAAAACCTAGTTTTTATTTTACTAGACAAGAATTTTATTTTATTAGACAAAAAGAAGATGACCAAAGAGTACATTTTATTTTCAAATGGACAGGGAAAGAAAAGTACAATTGAACATGACCAAGAGAAAAAAATCTTTAATATATTTAATTTCCTGCTAAAGGTTAGATTTGACTTCGAAAGTTTCTAGCTATAAAGGCTGAATCATACTCAAGTGTAAAAATAATTATAAGCAATGCCTAAATATACTGAGAAATTCCAGTGCAGGAGTAGTAAAATGATTTTGGAGATACCACTGAACATCCCAACACTTCCCCTAAGGCATATTTAAAATACGTCTTAGAAATTATAGAATTAGTATCAAGGTCTGGTGATAATGTAAAATAAATGATCAATTCATAATTGAGAAATATTTGGAAGATATAAGTGACTGTCTGATTTTGTAAAAGCAAATCATGTCAGACCAATTTAATTTTGTTTTATGACAGAATGACAGTCCACAAGGTAATAAGCATTTGAAAAACATAATCTATTTTAATTTTAGTAAATGTTTTTGTTCCATTGTTCATGGCATGTTACTTAGAAGCTAAGAAAATATGGAGTGGTGTACTGTTTTCAATTGCTTCTTGTCATTAAATGCCTCTGAGCTGGGCACTGATATTAATAGTCAAAGGAATTCTGGTGGAGTTCTTCCAAGTCAATAACTTGATTGAAAACCTAAATAAAAGATTTGAGATATTACTAATTAAATCTGAAGATTTTACTAAGCTGCATACTAGTGTTGGTATCTGTGGCTAAACTTCAAAACAATCTCAAAATACTAGAAGAAATACTCTATTAATCAATACCAGCAGAGAAAACTGTGGTGAGGAATACTTTGGGAACACATTGGGGTGAAATAGCCACATGCTATGGAAGGACTGTCTCAATGGGAATTGAAAATTAAAAAAATCCCTGCTATTTTGTGGGGCAGAAGTTCATTAGAGGTATAAGTGGCAAGATGACCAGAGAACAAAATGTAACAGTAATAAAAAGTATTTATTAAAAGAGGGTGAGAAAGAAAACAAGAAGGAAGGAAGAGAGGGAGGGAAGGAGAAAGGGAAGAGGGAAGGAAGGAACAGAGAGAAAGGAAGAAAGGAAGGAGGCAAACAGAATTTAGTTTTTATGAGTATGGTATAGAAATTCCAAAAATGCCCTTCTTCTGTCCAATATTAGTCGTGCTTCTATTAGCTTTGGCTCACTTAGTCAACACATTTAAACAGATGTGAAGAAATGGAAGAGATTTTGAAGAAGAGAGCAAGAACAACTGGAGAGCTAGAATAATTCCCTAGACTGAAAGTTTAACAATTTAGTATCATTTGGACTATCCCAGGAATAGGTACAGATAGTTTCATTATAATTTTCAAGTATAAAAAGGGCTTTTGTCAAAGATAACTGCCATTAGTAATTTCTCTGGTCTGTGGAGAATGAAGCCCAAAGGAGTTGACTCTAAAGTAGAAAAGAGCAGGTTTGTATATAAGGCAGATGTCTCTGCAATCAGAGCAAAATACCTTGAAATCTTTTCTAAAGGAGACATCAATCCATGTAGCAGTATGTATCTATCTCTGTGCTGGATGTGATGTTAAGCATCAGAGCAAGTTTGGGAAAGATGGCCTTATGTCAGGGGTCAGCAAACTATGTCCTATCTCCTGATTTTTGATGGCCCATGGGCTAATTGTTACTTTCATATTTTAAATGATGAAAATAAAAATTTCATGACATAAAAAATGATATGGCATTCTGCTTCATAAATAAAAGGTTTATTGACACTCCCACATTTCTGTTTTTGTTTGTGGCTGCATTGATGCCATTCAACAGCAGAGTTCTCTAGTAGAAACCGAGATAGTAAAGTCCACAAAGGTGAAGACCATTATTATTTGGTTCTGTAGGAGAAATGCTTCCTGACTCCTGACCTGTATGACTACAGCCATTTATACCATACATGGAGTTTACCTGTAACGTCTAGAAGCTTTCCTTGTTGTAATAAAAATGAACACCCCGGGGGTCAGCTGACGAATATAAGCGGCACATTCTTTGAAGTGTCTTTGACATAGCTTTGGGTCCACAGAAGAACACTCCAATGCTGCTGCTGTAGGAGGGAGAGGAAAAGGAGAATGTTACCAGGCAAGGTCCACCAGAGGCCAAGACAGAATCATCAAATTAGAAAGTGGTTGCATTTGTAGGTTATTTATTCATTTGCTTATCTGCACACACTACCTTTTCTCTTAGATTCACTCTTCCCAGTTTCAGCACAATGGTCTCTTGGAGGTTCCCAGAGCCCTGTTATTCCAGAATTACACAGGTTGGGGGAAGCAAGAGGACTGAGGCTGGAAGGGGCTGGAATGACTGTGATACAGAGGTGCCATCACTGTGATTTTTGGTCAGGTTACCTGGATTGGCATCTTCTTAGATCTATGACTAGAATGTATGTCCCTGAGAAGTACAACAGACATTCAAAACACCTTTGCTACAGGAATCTTCATGGTCATGGGCAAGGCATGAAGTCTTCATTACCACAAGTATAAAACAAAGATAAGGATTATATTGTACATCTGAGTGAAAGCAGAAAGAGATAATGCATTCGGAAGGTTTTTAAAAGGGTTAGTTATGACTAGCATCTTGTCCGATCCTGCCTTTTTCACAAATAATAAAATGTCTGTTAAACTAATAGCAATTTAATTTATTTCTCCTATTAGGATTACTTCTATTGGAATAACTTGGAAAGCCAAAAGGAAACCTTTGAAAGGAAAAGGACATTGCTGAAAATGTAGTCACCCAAAAGTTGTCATCGCTTATCATGAAATTTCAAAAAACAGTGCTGAAGAGGTATTTTTGCATTTAGTAGCTGTTCCACAGCTGCTCAAGTCACAAGACTGTCCCTTATGTGACTCTGTTTATATATAAACACCACATTAGTGCAGGGGTTCAGGTCGTGTCTTGAAGTTGGGATGCCTTAGTCCATATAGGGACTTGCAGAGACCATGTCCTTTTTCTCTTGTCTTGAATATTACCATTCCTTCTAGCATTTTTTTCCAATCTCTGGTGCATGAGTGGAATTAGTTACTCTAATTCAGATAAAAAATTCTCAAACTTTACTGCATGTAAAATCAATCAATGTAGCTGATTGCTAAAATGTAGATTCCAAGTAATACACATTTAGCAAGGAGTCTGAGTGATATTGAGGATATTGGTCTTCTGAGCCATGTTTTGAGAAGCACTGCCTCAGAGAAATTCTTCAGATCCAGGATTAGTCCACTATACTGCTTCTACTCCTTCAGACCTGGCTCTTGCTGGGAAGTACTTATATAGCCTAGCTCATCTTAGCTTACATGGTAGCATGGTTCTCTGCCATGTGTCATTGCCACATTTTAATTATGTGTTCCAGGACTGTAGTGTCTAGAGTAGAAGTTTAGTCACATTTCTAATTAGCTTTAATAGAACTTATCACATTGCTTCATTTACAAATGGCAGTATATTTTACAAATGGCATATGTTATAAATAACAATATATTTAAAATGTTTAAGTACTGTTTTCAAAGACATCATTCACATGGCTAAAGTTGAGAAAGTACTTTTTCAGAAACTATTTCCTACTGAAAAATATGACTCTAAGCAATTTTCAGGTGTTTATGGAAACAAAAGACAACGGGTAAGGGTGATGTTGGTTCCACCATGTGGTTGCTGGGAAACTTTGGGCACATTAATTATTAGCTCCTAGAATCTCTGCAAGGATTAAATAGCACATTGAGGGTCCTGTCTTGGCCCCATGCTTGACACATGGTGGCTCTTTGTAATAGCTAGTTTACATGGCTTATTATCTTTTGTGTCTGCAGGTCTCTGCCTGCTCCACGAAGCTGAACAGACTCTGGCCTGAAATGTTTAGAGTGATAGATGGGTCAGGTAAGCCCCTTCCCAGCTAGGAGTCACAGCTTTGCTTTGTGTCTGATGCCCAGAGGTATCTTTGCATCTATTTTCAAAGATGCTGTTATGGGTGGTGATATTTTTCCATTAGCGTAGATGTCACCAAAGAGATTGCCACTGGGCCATTCCCAACAGGCGAAGACTGCCCTTTCGTTTACAGCACTGTCACTGTTTGCAGAAGCTGATGGTGCTCTTTGATGCTCTGCCTTTAGGACTCTATTTCAAAGGATTCTGATTGCTGGCTGCCAGGTGTACTACTGGTGTCTCCAGCGGTTCACAGCTCCCCTGCCTCTTTGAAGTTGTGGCTATTACGCTGCACAGCTAAGTACAGGGTCTATAACTGTCATGGTTATGCAATCACCAAAAAGTCTCACAAAGGCCACTCATTATCTACCCTCAGCTGCAGCCGAAAGGTCAACCTTTCACTAGCTCTCTTCGCATCACTGTCCCCACACAAGACGTTCTGTTGTTTGCCTTGGTTACACTCCTTGGCATTTATGATTCTGAGTACAGAAATCTCTCTTCATGAATGCATCCTGTGAGCCATGGAGCTGAGAATCCACATAAAGTAGTTAAGGCACAGATGTGACAGTTTTTTAAATTTTTTGCTTTTATGAGGTAATGGACAAGAGCAACAGAACCCTAATGGTGTTGGTAAGGAAAAAAAAATCTTCTATAAAATTTAATTACCCACAATTGCTTGGAATTAAAAAAAAGATTCTCAGCAAAGGAAGTATAAAAACATGAGGCACTACTTATTCTCCAGATTACAGCCTGCAAGCTGAAGAGCTAGCACAGGCATCAGAGCTAGAGCATTAAATGACATTGATCAGTCTGGGCTGCTGACTCTGAGAAGGAAAGGACAAATTTCATCTGAGCTGCAAAGATGGTTAACATTCACAGCATTATTTTTAGCTCTGATAAACAATAAAGAAAATCCTCTTTCCTCCTCTCTATTTGCTAAATAACTACTGTGCTCTTCTCTGTGGGGTCGGTGCATTTTTCAAAACAGTTCAGCGATGCCATCCATGAAAGGCATCCAAAATATCACCCACCAGGAGATTTCAGCCAAGCAGATATACGGGAGTGTGGGTGTGCCCAGGAGTAATCCCACCACCTTGCTGGATTCCCAGGTTCTGCTGCCGTGAGCTCTTCTCTCTTTAAATTGTATGCTTGTTTTTATGTGTTGGCTTTTATGCTTGGTAAGTTATAACCCTGTAGGGGCAAACCCTAAACCCCATTTAAAAAAAAATCAAATTACTTTATACCCTGAGTGCATTCTGCAAATAAAATCGATGCACAGAAGCTTCCTGTGGATTTATGGAGGCTTAGGAAGAAGGCACCAGGAGCTACAAACACTGTTTCAGACAATGGACACAACTTCTGCTTAATCTTTCCTAGTGAATGTTTTTCATTAGAAATGCCTCCAAATGACTTATCACATAATTATATTTTATGCAACAACTCCTTCTTCATAACCACAGATGATAATTGTGGTGACCAGCTTATTTTTAAAACCTATCTTCTAGTCAATTTGTATTCTTTTTCTCTGCCTCCTAATTACTCAGTTGTTCATTAGGAGCTGTAGATACCCCTAGCAATGCTCAGTGTGTGACTCTTTTGCCCACTCTCCACCATCACTATCTTCCTTGGGAAGAAGAGCTGTGTGGTTAGGACACTGATCCCATCATCTTTGTCTCAGGTTCCATTATCCTCCCACTGTTCATGCTGACTACTAGGCCAAGCACTGAGTTGTATGAATATAGCCCCTGCCCTCAGGCAATATATAGTTAAATAGAGAAAACAGAAAAAGTGGTATTGGATTCTAGAAAATGGTAGAGCCATATTTTTCTGGGCCAAACTTGTCTCTTCTCTAACCTCCTAACACTAAGATATATAAATATGTAAGTAATCTAATATTTTGCTATCATGAGTAATTTGTTGGCTGTCATCATTCTTTGATGATAGCCTTACGATAGCCTTATTACAGACTAAGATACCCCCATCCCCCATCAAAATGAAGTAATGCCACTAATTTCACTTGATTATAACCAGAGAGCTGGTTACCATACGCTGACAACATCCCCATCATCAGTTTATGGTGGTTTTACTTTTATCACAAAACTATAATTTATTGTGCGTTGGATTTCCATTTAAATCTATTTCTTCAAGTGTTCTGAACATTTTAGTCATATAATGTTTGTTCAGGATATCCTGTTAGATAAAAGACCCTGTGTGCTATAATCAGAATGCTAATTTCTTAAAAATATCATTTAACAACATTTTGCACATATGCACGTACAAATGAGAATTGAAGGGTGTGCACACAAGCAAATGTAGTTCCAGATGGACACATTTACTCAATTTAGTATAAAGGTATTTTTACATTTCTGAAAACAATGGGTGGTCTAAAATATACCCATGCAATATGGATGAGAACCCCTCCAATCATATGGGAAGTCAGCACCTTCTTTATCTTAGACTTGATTGCACTGTTCTAACAAATGGTGGTAGTCTTCTTTTCTTTACCTGTTCCTTCAAGATAAAAGAAATACTTCTATTGAAGTTATGGAAAAATGGGCAAATCTTCAAAGTTTTTATGGTAATTAATTACATAAAGTTCACACCTACAAGGCATGGTGAAATTATTAGCAGATAAGTCAAAAGCAGCAAACTATAAATATTATCTGAAGTATAAGATCAAAGACCGAAGCCCTATGGAAAAACCTCTTAGTCAATTAATTAAAAACAGCTGATGCACAAATTCACAAGGGTGAGAATATGTACAATGTGTGTTTGTCAAAAAGTAGCAAGATGTGACAAAGCTATATTTATTTTCATTCTGTCTACCTTCTTGGAAATGCTTTTCTGAGTTTTGAACACTTGTTCAAAGGTTGGGAGCATATCAAGAATGTTTACAAAAAATGAAATATTGCTTCCATTTTTGTACAAGACACATTTTGATAGATTAATAAGACATAGGTGTCAATGCACATATTTAATTAGCCTTCTATATTTTAATTGGGAGAAGATTTTCATTGTATGTTCTGGGCTTGTCTAATTGAAGTAATATGCAACAATTGACATATGTGAGTTGGGCATAGCAATGAAAGGCTTTTGTTTTTTAGTATATCCATTTACTATTTGTTGATCATCTTTTAAAACTATATTGTGTTTTTTATAAATACAGCTGATAGAATTACCAAAAGTAATTACAACTAGAAACAATAGAATATACTTTTCTTGCTTTCTGCTTCCAGTCTTTGATCTGTTTTTAATTTTTCTTCCCTCTTCCTTATTTGTATTCATTTTGATGCCATCAATTTGCTTCTCTATTACTGTTATTTTTGCAATTTTCTGGTTTCTTTAGAGCTTGCTCAACTCTCTTTGATCTGCTTCCCTTCAAGCTTTATTTTTGGTGCTGTTTTTCATGTTCTATAAAAAATATTTTTGCCCCTCTTGCCTTTCTTCTTTTGAACTAACTCCTTTTTCTTAGAACAAGAACAAACTCTGGCTTTGAGTGAACAGGTAAATGTTTTTACAAGAGTAAGTCCTGAGACTTCTTGGGTTTGCCCTGATGAGTAGAAATGGTTGAGAGCATACTTCAAAGGCCCTCAGAAACAAAGAACCTTTTCTGAGCCTAGGCACAAATCCACCAAATTCCTCGTGACCCATCTGCGCCAAAAGATAGGCAGGACAAGCCTGTCATGTGAGAGTAGCCAATTGGGCTTGGGAAAAAACATTGCCTTGACATAATAAGGGGAAAACATACTGTTTATCTCTTTAATAACCATCTTGAAGAAAATTAATGTTCCTTTGTCCTTTGTGTAGAACAGTAATTGGATTGTGTGTTTCATTTCTATCTGGACAAAGGCCAGGATATTGAAATACTTTTCAATATTAGATTTTCTTGTTTAAAAATTAGATTTTATTGGCATTCTCTTTCCGAGATTTCTTCATTAAAAGCTTCATTAAGCATAAATCTTCTTTTACACAGCAGAAAACAAAAATTATCTTAAGGAGGTCATTTTAAAAGTCTTCTAGAAGGGCGGTGCTAAGCTTTTTATTGGTGACTTGTCTTTTTTTTTCCAGGGATAAAGTAATGTTTTTTTTTGCCTGGATGTGTCCAATATTAATTACATTGATGCTTGAAGCTATATAACAACTTGCTGTGTTCTAGTCTAAGGCTATCACCAATATGATGCTTAATATTTTTCAGCTAGGAAGCATGCTGTAGAATCTTGATGCCATGACATCCAAATCTCAAGGGTCTCTTCTTCCCTAGAAGACATGAAGTCATTTGTCAGGAAGAGAGAGCATTTGTACAGCTACTGTGCTGAGAAATGCGATTGGCTATTAAGTGCATTTGTGTTCTTCAATGATGTCTTCTGAAAGGGATGAACACCCTCCTGACAAGGGCAACAGGGAAAGTGTCAGTGATACAGTTTTCCCACCTGAAAACTGTTTGTGTTCCTTATTCCCTGCACAAATTGGACAGGCTCACTTCTCAGCCCTGCAGAGCATGGTTTTCTGGGCAGAGCTCGTGCAAGCCCAGTATTTCCTTCAGTCTCCTGATGCTCTGTGTTTCTGGCTCACACTTTCTGAGGGAAGAGAGATAGTTAAATGGTTTGGTTTGAAAGGCTTTCCCTACTGGGCTGCCAGCTTCATGTGCAACAAAAATAAACAAATATAGTGTGATATGTCAATAAGTGACAACACTAACGAAGAGTGGGACTATCCAAAAAACTTAAAAAAAGATCTATAGGTCCATGTTAAAAGCCTGCAAAGTGGAAAAGCGTACAACATTTATAAAAATATATTTCTCTCCAAGAAGAAAAAATATAGGAGCAAAAAAACGGCGTAGTCTCATATGAGCTTGTGGCATGTTAATTTCTACCTCTTAGTTTTTTAAGGAAACAGTGAATTACCCAGTCTCTGCTTTGGACAAGTTGGGTGGGAGTAAGTTGACGGGTGTTGACTCTCAGGGCTCAAAGATGCTGGGGGTTCAGGATCTGGGACTGGGGTTGAGTGAAAGCTGAGAGAAACTGGATTCTGGGGCGGGGGTTGGAAGTGGGTGCTTGGAGAGAAGGTGGAGCTTCACAACTGGGTTCCAGACTAAACAGCTGCAAGATCCAAGGCAAGAAGCAACACGGAGCAAGTGGGCTGTAGGACATGGAATCTGGTAAGGGTCTAAAGGCCACTTGCCATAGCTTGGCAGTTCCTACAGGATACCTGAGGCTGAGTCCCGAGGGCCGAAATCAAGGTAGTGATTGTGCAGCTGGTTCACCCCTTCCTCCCTTAACACTGAAGTTAAAAGATAAACTTTTTCTGGACTTTCTTGTTGGAAATCTGTTCCTCTCAGGCTGATTCAAGGTCAGGAAGATGTTTCTACAAACACTATTTTAACTTGTGTCTTCCCTAGGCTATGTGCCTAGGGGTCTGGAGTCTCTTCATGGAACACTCTTGCCTTGAATGTAAGGCTTCTTGGTCAGGCTGTTCAGTACAGGGTGCAGAGAGACTTGTCAGGCATCTCACAGACCACTGGACTGTTGAAGTCAGAGTGACTTCATATAGAAGGATACTAGAATTGGATGCTTATGAACCTCAGATGCTACCTGGTTACTTCTTTCCTCCTTACCAAACAGCCCTCAAATAACTGGCCTAAAAAAGCCTGATAATGCAGTGACTATTAAAAAATAATAAAATGGCATAGTTCTGGCGTAAAGATAATATAAGGAAAAATGTTAAAAGGAGCTGAACGGACCAAAAGATGATTTATACTCAACAAAAAGTCTTCAATGAAGCAGGAAATATATTAGGGAAATACAAAAGGCTTAATGGAGCACAGTGCCTATGGGCTCCTCTGAAGGAAGACCACAGCACAGAAATACATGAAAAATGCACAGGGCAGTCACTGGAGATGGAGAAGTAGTCAGAAATGCCCTGGTAAATTTTAATTTACTCTTACTGGTTCACTACTGATAAAGGGGACAGAACAAAGGTCAAGGGACAGAAGACTTAAGTGGCATGTTTAATAAGGTAGATATGAGTAATATATATTAAGCTCTGTGACTTACACATGGAAAAAATATTCCCTTGCCCTCCAAATATCATGGTTTTAGGAACTCTTGTCAATCCCTATCTTCTCCTTTAGTCATCTCCAATGTCCTGGCTCCAAACATGGTTTATATGCAGACACCTCCTGCTGAGCTTCTCCTCTGAGATCTTGACTCAGTCACTGTGTACTCAACATCTAGATGCATGACAGGCAACTTAAGCCAAACATGTCAAAAATGGAAGGCCTTATATTCTATGCTCACTAACCAGCAACTCATACAGTCATGCCCATGCTGATAAGTGGGACCTCCGTCTAGCTCAGGTCACACATCCAATCCATTGCAACTCATGTCAGCTCAACCTTTAGAAAATGTACAGGATTCAACTGCTTTTCACCACCTCCACTGCTGAATCCCCCCTCTACCCACCAAGCTACCAGCACTCCCTGTTCCTCTCTGGCCTCACCATTTCTGTCCTGTGCCCCTTAAAATCTATTCTCTTATAACAGCTAGAGTGTTGCTATGCCACTCTTGGGGGCTCATCATACCACTAAGTAGCTTCCCCTCTGGGAATGGTCCCCATGACCATTCTTCTAAATGCTATCTCCTGCAATTTTTCCTCTCACCTCAGCTATTCCAACCTAGATCATGCTGGGAACAATGGCCCCTCTTAGAGCCCTGGCACATGTTTGTTCTCAGTTGCCCACATGGTACACTCTTTTACTTTCTTCATATTTTCCCTCAAATACGGAAACTGTTCTTCAATGAACACAATATTAGGATATACTGACTTTTAGGTGTCACAGATGATGAGGGTTCAAGACAAAGACTGACATAGGAGACATAGGGGCAACAATGACTGCTTGTGTTAGTGCTCTACACTTCACCAAGTTTTTTAATATACTGTATTTTTTTTAAAGTTTACAAAAACAGAATTATGAATGGATATTATCCATGTTTTACAATGGAATACAAAAGCTTGAATAAGCTACCTTGTCCAAGGTCGTATAGCTGGAAATTTCTAGGACCAGGAAGTGAAAGCTTCATTACAGTCTTGTCGTTCCAGGGCAAGTGATCTTACTTCTTTATGTTAAAGTGTATTATATAATGATAAGCATAATTGAAATGCTAATAATAACAGTGATGACAGCAGCTAAGTTACTCAGTACTGTGTAGAAAAGCCTTATTTCTGGCACTTTACATGCATTCACTACTTTACACTTTGCAAAATCCTGGGAGACAAGAGCTGTTATTTGTAGAGGAAGAGACTGAGTAATATCAAGATAGATACCTGGCCAAGGTGTACCAGTGGAAATGGGAGCAAGGATTCACACCCAGCTACTTGGGCTCTAGATCTGTTCTAACCATCATCTTATATCCCTTTGTGGTCTTATAACATTTTTCTCCCTGCTTTTTCTACACATGCTGGATACACTGTAGAACTGGATATAAGTGAATTTTCTGGCTGAGTAATTAGAGAACAACTGTACTCACCAAAGATTTTTTTGAAGGCATATGTTGTTTAAGAAATACCATCTTTAAATTGAGGTTGAGTGTGAAAAATTTCAACATAATTGGTGATTGTCAAAGGCTGTCAGCCAGTGAAGCAGAGATTTGTGGTTCCTGAAACAGATGATGGCCATCTTTTCTAAGGTAGATGTTCTATCCTTAAACAAGATGGCGGCACTGACAGTAGATTACCTGCATTTTAGGAGCAGTTTGCCCTCCAAGAACACCCCCAGCAGGCAGAGGAGGGAGAACTGGCCTTGCTCACCTGGGGTGATTGTAGGCAATCTGTTTGAACTCATTGTTCCAGTTGGGTCTCCCATAGAAAGTTTTCTGCTTTAAGCCTGTAATTACGTCTGTGTTTTCATCCCAGTGCAAAGCAATGTGAATAGCCTAAAATAAAAATTGTGGTATCAGATGACATTTAGAAAAAAATTGCAGCAGCTTTCTATAAATAAAGGAATAAATCACTATGTTCACTTGTAGATCTCATACAAAATGTTTGTTTACAGGGCTGGAAATGCTATCACTATTAGCAGATACATAGAGTATTGCACTTTAGGGCAAGTGTCATATCCCATATGTCTTTGTATTGGGCCCTATTGGAACAAAATGCCTCCTTATACAAAGTAGGCATGCAAAGGCATTATCTTAGAAGCATATCTTCTTTTGAAAGGATGAGAGTAATAAGTGAATGTGGTGAAGGAAGAGCAACACTAAACTTCCTTTTCTTTCTGCCAAACTTCTCAAAAATTAATTTCTACCTGTTGTCCCCACGCATTTGATATTAAATCTTGGGGATTTGAGAAGGGCACTGCCAGATTAAATGCTACAAAATATCCAGGAAAAAGCATACAATCAGATCTGCTTACTGGGTTGAAGCAGTTTGATGTACAGTCATTCCTTGATGTCCATAGGGGACTGATTCTAGCCCTCACCCCATACCAAAGTCCACAGATGCTCAATTCTTTATATAAATGGCATGGTTATAACCCATACTTTAAATCATATAGGATTATTTATAACACCTAATACAGCGTAAATACTCTGCAAACGATTGTTATACTGTGTTGTTTTGGGAATAGTGATAAGGAGAAACAGGTCTGCACATGTTCGGTACAGATGCAATTTTTTTCTTGGAATATTTTCAACTTTCTCTTGGTGAACTTATAGATGTAGAACCAGTGGTTTTGGAAGGCTGACTGGATACTGTTAGGTTCACAATGCTGGGAGGGTGGTGCATGTGTCAGATAGGACATGGTGGCCAGAGTAGAGCAAGTTAGAGTTCTGTGCCCAACTATTTACCTTCAAATTAAGTGAACTCACCCAGGCATTATGTAACTAGTGGCCCTAAATAAGAGTTTGGGACCTATCAATCCTGTGATCATGATTTAAGTTTCTGTAATGTTTGAGCCCCTGTTGAATTCTGGTAGCCACCTTGCTTTTTCCTCTTAGGGCTGTGTGCCCTGTGATCCCTGAGACCAATTATCAGTTCTTTAGCTCATCTGTCTTACCCTTTGGTGGTCAATTTGCTCTTATATGCTCTGACTCTTGTGAATTCCAGTAGTTTGGGTAACAGCCCTTCTTGGTTGAACTCATGGCCAACATACTGGGAGCCTGACTTGTCTGGATGGCCTTCTTCCAAGTCTAAGAAAGCAGGTAAGGCCAGAGAATTTCAGGTAAAAATAATGGAAGTTGCTCTAACAGACTAGTAGACAATGGCCAATTGGAATCTCAGAAATCCAGGCTGTAGCAAGGTGTTCCTAGGCAAGTCTGACTAAGGTAGCAGTGCTACTATAAAAGAGTTTGGGACTAAGACTCCATACAAAGAGGGTCTGGGGAAGATGGCAGAAGGTGTGGAGTGACATGTCATGGAGGGGAACCAGTACAAGCAAAGATGTAGAAGCATAAAACGCCTTCTGGGGACAGGGGGAAACAATGGGGCTCACAGAGAGCCAGGTCAGGCTGGGAAGGACCATAAAGTACTTGCTAAGAACATTATTTCATGGGAAAAAAGGCCTTTCCTCTTATGTTTGTGGTACTGCCAATCACTGATGTTCAAACATTTGGAATTATATTTGTTCCATATTTCCTGCCCAATGTTCAATTAATCTCCAAACTCTTTTGATTTGCCCTTCATAATACCTCTTCCATCTGTCCCTTCTGTTCTTGTCATTTTGCCACTTTGAGGTTGTTAGATTCAGTTTAACAATTGGCTATTTCTAAAACAGCCTCTTGTTTGATTTACTGACAGAATGCATCAATTATTTTTTCTTTAAGTGTTGAGATTAGTGATTTCCTGCCTATAATTTGGGTGTCCAAAGAATTTCCAATATGTCATGGGAAAAGATATCTCTTTTAATTTACTTATATTTAGGAAAAGATATATTTTATAGTCTACTCTTGGAAGTGACAGAGTTAGGAGAGAGCGGGGCTATGCTGTCACAAAATCAACTTCAGGTCTCTTATAGAAGAACCCCCATCACATAACTCCCAAGTGACAGGGAATGGCTAAGTGGACACTTGGGATCAATTTGCTTTAGAAATAGAAGGGCAAGCATGGAGCTAGAAAGCAAAGACAAAAGCTGCGTCTGTATTTCACCAAATGGATCATCAGTCAAAAATCCCATTTGAATAAAGAAAATACTTGCTTGGAAAACATAATTAACACTATATAATTCATTAATATGTTTCAAGCTTAGTTCCCAAGAAATCTACATTTCAAATTATCCCATAGGATTAAATATTTAAGGAGGACTGCAAATGAAACCATAAAATTTTATAAAACTACTAAATTTCAAGCAAAGTCTTCCTCATTTGCAGAAGCACAGAGTCAAATTGCAGCAATGGTCTATAAGGTCCTGTGTATGTGTGTGTGTGTGACACACAGAAAACATTCATTTATAAATTTGGTGATTAATGCAAATCTTCTTGGCTCAAGCACTTTCCTTAAAAAGTGTATCAATGATACTGGCTACAGAAGTGCTGATTAGAATACACACTTCATAACTTACAATATTTGAGAAGTTAGACTGTATCCACATGCAATAGCCATCATTCAATATTATCAATGCCATAGTCATTGTGTTGATACAAATTATTTTTTGGCAAATTCAGTCTTAATATTTCATTAATACAATGTGGTGCAGAGCACCTTCCCAAAGAAAAGATCATTTTGACCTTGGATAAATAAACATACATGTACATACCTTAAGCAAAAGAAACCTCTAGACAAATCATTCATCCATAATTATTTTCTGTAGATACCCACATACTTTTCAATACAAAAGTTTGACTATAAACACCTGGGAATCTTTGTTTAATTCTGAGCATCTCAAAGCATAGAATTAGAGCCAATTAAGAACTCAACAGATGACACAACCAATTAATAATATTCAATGATTTCACTCTTCAAATGACAAATGCATATTTATTTGGGATTTCCAGTCTCAGGATTGTCTTCCTTTGCCAATCTTTCTTCTACTCAGTAAGGTAATCATAGGACTTTTATTCTTACAACTTAAATGTTTCCTTCTAATCTAGTTTTATTCCATTCTCCTTTCCTTTTTAGAAACATAAAAACAATTCTTTCATTTCTATATAGCTCATTATTGCAACTAACTTTTCTCTTTGTTCTACATTAACTGAGTCAGGTATAAATTCTCAGAGTCTTATCGATACCTGATTTTCATCCCAGCCAGTAAGAAATATATGATAGCTCAGAAAGTGAGTTTTCGCTTGCTCACTCATCCGTGTTTCCAGTGAGAGTAAGAGATCAGCAAACCACTCAAATGCCCTGGCATCCCGGCAGATCCAGTAGAAATACACCTGTCAAGAAAGAAGGAGAACTGTCTGTCCCTCTTCCCATAACACGCTGATAATCGCAGACTACTTTATCTCCATTAAATTATTTGAGCTCAAATGGGCACTTCTGCAAAATAACATGCTTTTCTCTGCCAGTGAACAAACTGTCACACTGATTTCTTTTGAAAAAATATTCACATTGTGTTTGAAAAGACCCAGAGTGAATTGAGAGAGTCGGGGACCTGTGGGCCATGCCAATGTCGCTTGAGGAGGAGCAGCGCCCCACATTTCTGGCTGTACTTCAGCTGAACAAGATTGATAACCATAACTCACTGTGCCTTTCACTGCTTCCCAAAGGGGCTAAGCCCTCAGAGCAGCCCCTTCATCTTTACTTATGACCTAAGCTCAGGATTTCAACTATCTTCTCCAGAGACCCCAAAGGCTTGGGCACTAATCCACTTCACCAGCCACAGCCTCTGGAGAATGGAGATTATGGTAATTGCAGAATCAAGCCACACAGGCCAGAAATTTCCTCTCTGCAAGACATATCAGTGTCCAAGAAAGCTGGTGCGTGGGGGCTGTGCCCATGTATCAACTGCTATAGTGGAATTATGTCTGAGAAGACTGTTTTTTTTTTTATTTTAATCTCTCTGCATTGAGTAAATGGCAGGTGACAAGAAGTAGTTTGAGTTTGCCAAAAGAAAGACTTTTGTGCTTTGAGTTTCAAATAATTGCCTCTAGAAGAAACCACAAGAGATAAATCTGTTAATTTTCTGGATTTTTCTCACACTCCTACCCACTGCTGTCCATCACTCTTTTCTGTACCTTTTCCCTAAATAGAGATCTCTAGGGTTTAACAACATCTGTGGGGGCTGGTCTGGAGTCCACCTGTGTTGATTCCAGGTGCCCTTGGTGTGTTCCCAGCCGGAAACATTTCCAAAGGCCAATATCCACTTTCCTCCTTCTACTCCAGCCAACCTGTAGGCTAACAATCATATAATCAGATTTATAGATGAGATTTAAATTAATAGATCAAATTCATGAAGAAAAGAAAATCACAGAATGTATTTCAAGGCTGAACACCTGGCCTGGTTTCTTCAGGTTTATGTAGGAATTTATAGTATTAATAGTTGGAAAGAGCAAACACTGGTGAGGATAAGATCTTTCTCTCAAGAATTAGAGAACATGCATTTATTGGACAGTTACTGCTCAGAAGGGGACTTAAAATATTAATCCCAGGACAAATGATCCCTCAGTTCCTATGCACGTGGCCCCCAAAATGACTGCTTCTCTTTTCCTGGCTCTCAAAAGTTTTGGAGATCATAGTACACAGCCTATGAGGCAGTGGGCTTTCAAAGCAGATCTGAGCCAAGGGCTCCCTCTGGTGAGTGCCCCCAAACCTGTGTGGCTATGAGTGCCCCCAAACCTGTGTGAGCTCATTCACTGCTCACAAATGTGTACTGAATTCTTATCATGTATCAAGATTATTCTATGCTCTGGAAGTGAACAGGAGAGACAACCAAAAACAACAACAAAACCCCTGTGCTCGCAGAGAAGAAAGACAATACATAAACACGCAAAATATAGAATATGTCAGATGGTGGTAAGAGCTGTGTAGAAAATAAGGCAGGCTGGGAAGGGTTGCAATATTAAGTCAAATGGTCAAAAGAGGCCCCACTGAGAAGGGGACATAAGCAAAACCATGGAGTTGGTGAGGGTGTCAGATGGTTAGAGAGAGGAGAGGGCCTGAGTCAGGAGGCCTGTGTGGCAGAGCCTGGTGCTGGAGGGCGAGCAGCAGGAAAAGGATGGTGGGGATGCTGAAGGAAGCCTTATATTGGAGGACTTTGGGGCCATCACTGACTTCTCTTCTGAGTGGGCTGGGATGGCACTGTAGTGTCTAGAGGGTCATTCTATGATCTGAGGCCTATGTATGGACCTCTCTGCCTGCTGTATTGAGCCTGGAGTTGGGGTAGGAGGCAAAGGAGGAAGAATAGAGGTCAGTGAAGAGCTTTTGTTTTCGCTTTGTGAGGCATTAATCTAAAATTGCTTTATTACTACCTTTAAGCCTCCACTTCGACTTGTTTTGCTCCCGGTGCAAATGGAAAAACCTGTTGACTGGCTTTTATGCTGAGCTTACCTATGCACCTGTCCACTTCCAGTCTGGTAAGTCATATCTTATCTCAGAACATTAGGGGTGGCATTTGGACAGAACAGCAGAATAGATATAACTGATTTATTTTTTATTTCCTATCCTTTAAGGAATATATCTAAACTATATTCACACATGATTAATAAACCAAAAATTTTCTTCTTTTTTAAAACTTTCCAATTTCAAAGCCAGTTTCAACTGCCTTACCTGAAAAATGTCCACATTTTAGCATTCTCCACATTCTGATCTTTATCTTTTCAAATAGAAATGATTTCTGTCCTTGCTTTCTGTGGCATCGCTCTCTGTTAGTGTTCATAGGCTTTGCCAGGCTTTTTATACTTTTTGCTTCCTTGTAATAGCTGTGTGAGCTTTTTCCTTCCTAATTGACTTATGGGTAACACTGGCTGCTTTGGTACAAGAGACTATGGAGGAAAATGGATTGGCCCAGTAGAAATGCTTGAAGCAGAAAAAGAAAGACAGGGACTTTGAACAGAAGAAAGGGGTATTTACTTTGACTTGCTTTCATCTCTCTAATGGTAGGGGACACTCACTGTGAAGAGACTAAGAGTTCCACCTCTGCACTTCACCCAGTAGAAAGGGCCTGGTCGATGGTAGAAAAAGTGTCCCAAACAATAGGCTATGACTCTGTGATCTATGCTTCCCAACCCTCATCCTACCTTAGCCTCCAAAAATAAAACAAACCCCAAAATCAGTTCCCTGTGTCAAACATGGCTTTCAGAATTCTGCAGCGGATATCAGAGGCCAAAAATACCTCAGGTTACTTTCAAAGATTTTATTAAGCAGAAATTCATCCTCAGTGAAATAAAGAAAGTTCGGAACTTCCATGTTAACAAAAGTTACCCTACTTTTCTACGGGGACAGTGTATACCCAAGATGCCTTAGAAGGCCACCCTGGGATTCAGCAATGGGGTGTTCTGTGCATGTGGTCTGGTACAGACCTTTTCTGTCACATTGTTCCCAGATACTAATGACCAGCCTGGAGTGGAGCCACACCTAAAATGCCCTGCTGTCTTCTGTGTGTCTCAACTCATTTTCCAAAAGCCTGGCTTCTCTGTAAGAATTCCTCAGTTGCCCATGTGGACCATGTTGAAGTAATCTGGGACCGTGAGAAAATGGACCTGCATTAATTTTTTATAAACAATTCTAGAAAGTGCAAGATGAAGGGATTCTAACTTATTTTACAACTAGTGCTCATAAGTCTCCAGTCAGAGTTTTATAGTATCTGGCTATTTCATCTCTGGAGTCTCTGGCAGGGCCGGGACAGCATTCACAGACACTGGCAAAGGACACAGTCATAAATACAACATATAATTCTTTAGATCCAAAATTGGTTTCCCAAGGATGGATGGGACCAAACAGTATGCCCATATGTATTTACTTATGGCTCACGAGCACTGAAAAGGACAGTGTTCATGAGAACATAGATATAGGATGAGCTATAACATGGTCATTACACACACTACACACTGTGAGTCCCTGAGCTCTGTAACATGTCCTGGAATCCTGGCTTCACCATCTTGGAGCTCTGGAACTGGGGCCAGCTATTTAACTTGAGCCTAGATTACCATGTTTGGAAAATGTCCCTGAACACAGGAGAACTCATGTGTTTATTGTGAGGATGAAAGGCTATGGTTTATGGAAACATTTTGCACAGTGTCTGACAGATGCATTAAGTGCTCAGAAGATGTTTGCTGCTTAAGTTACACTTCTCATTGTCATTTGGGGATGTGTACAGAATGAGTGCACTATAAGAGGCAGGGCAAGGAGGCACATTGCCTTACTTGGTCTGTGTTCTCACTGGTCACTCCTGAATTAGAATGGGTGATCACTGAGTAGAGGTAAAGTGAAACTTGATTTCTAGAAGCAGACTTGGAATGGGAAGGTCAGCATTGAACATAATGACCTTAAAGTGAGCCCTTCCCTAGAGAAAGTGCACCTCTTGCTCCATGTATGCAGAACTTACCTGCAGGCATTTTATAGGGAGCCTTGATCTCATTACTTTGGTTGAGGCCTCCTCTCAATGGGTGGGCTAGCGGGTTGCAGTGTGAACTGCTTCCCCCCCAGGCAGCACATTTCTTTTTTCTTTTATTCATATGTGTATACAATGTTTGGGTCATTTCTCCCCCCTTCCCTTTCCCCCTGCCCCCTCCCACTCTCCCCCTTCCTCCTTGCTACCAGGCAGAAACTATTTCCAGGCAGCACATTTCTGTCTCCCACTTCCCACCCCCAACATTGTGCAAAAGACATGGAACTAACAGAAGCTCCACATCAGCATGGGTTTAGAGACTTGCATAGAGGGAATTGTGACTACTGTCCCAGAAGAGAGCTTACCTCTGTGAAAAGATGATGTTTAGAAAACATAATACCTCCTCAATAAATGACTGCTATTATTATCCTGGCTTTTATTTTGTTGTTATTGTCCAGGTAATCCTGGATAAATACAAAATCATTACGAGAAGAATGTATTTCTTACTGTATGAAACTTCCATACTGTGTAAAACTTCTAGTTTTCAAGCACTAAAATTGTAAGACTTTTTGTGGCAAACTGTTGTAAGACTGAGACTGGTCATTGTATATTTTTTTGACCCTAAGAATTTTTCTTAAGCTGGGTGCCAGTGGCTCACGCCTGTAATCCTAGTCACTCAGGAGGCAAAGATCAGGAGGATTGTGGTTGGAAGCCAGCTCAGGAAAATGGTTTGCAAGACCCTATCTCAAAAAACCTTTCATAGTGAGGGGGTGGGGGGGAAGGGGGGAGAAATGACCCCAACATTGTATGCAAATATGAGTTAAAAAAAAACCTTCACATAAATAGGGCTGGTGGAGTGGCTCAAGAGGAAGGCCCTGAGTTCAAGTC